GTTGAAGTTGAAGGAAGATAAGGATGGTTTGGTTTAGACCTTCTCAGATGAATTTATGGTGACTTGTGAAGGTTTATTTTCTGTAGCACTATAGTACTACCGTGAGAGTTAAAAAAGATATACTGCATGTCATATTAAATGTTTAGAAATTTATTAGATAYTTTTTTAAGCTGCTCGTGTTCAACCGAKYACATGTCACCTCGCTCAACAGCACTAGTAGTTGATCGAGTTATATGAACGGATGGGAAGCATTGGTTTTTCCAGCCTTAATTTGTGTTAAAATGTGAAGATTGACTGACTGATGTGTACTCTTAATTACATGTTAATTTTCATCAATTATGAATCTACAAATTTTATAAACTAAAGTTTTTATAAATATTTCTCTTTTGGGTAAATTCAAACAAATTGTACGAATACAAGGTTTTTAATCAGAAGGAACCAATTGTTCGTGTTTGGGGCAGCTACAAGGGCCAAGCCTTGGCTGCACCTCCTCCAAAGGGCTGCAGCCCTTGTCTTGMGTGTGACCGTGGCGCCCTTGCATAGCCCCCGCACCCCCTTGAAGGGCTACGTCGATCGTGATGGTTGCCCCATGCAYGGCCTATGTCACCTACATGGCTTAAGTGGTCGTGCTATCTCTGTGGCTAGCGCTTTGCCTGCACAACCAAAGCACGGGCCCAACACACGCACTGTCGCCTTGGCAACATTATCTCRCACCACTACATCCTCTTGTCCGCTTGTGAGTGACACCGCACCATGATGTCACATGCAGGCTTACTCCCCCAAATAAATATGGGGAAGCCAAAGAACCTCTATAAATAGAGGTTCCAAGTCATTGGAGGTAAGTAATTCCTCCCCCCTCAACTCCATAAATTCAAGTAATTTCTTTCCTAAGACTTGATACTGACTTAAACATCAGAGTGTATTCTGGCACCATATCGGTATTAGMTCATCTTTTCTTTGTGCAGATCATTTCGATTCAGTTGTACGAGTTAAGATTTCGTATTTCTTCTATTCATTRGGTCAAATTCAGACCATCCGAATGAATTAGCCTCGTGCATTTTACATTTTGAGGGTTTGTTTTCCTTGAAATTTGTTAATCAATGATCTGGGTTAAAGATATTTCCAAAACCACATGAGGAAAAAAAACACAAAAGGAGATTCCTTCGTACAGGGGCGAATAAGACAAAAGACACATGGGCAAAACAGTCCATTAGTCCCCCAACAAGAAAAAATAAAAGTAGATTTAATTTCAGTATTTAATTGAAATAAAATTTTATTATAATAATTAGAAGAAGTTTCCCTATCTGTTTTTATATATATAAAAAAAATAAAGAAAAGAAAGATGCCAATTTGTTTAGAAAACGTGGGTTTCAAACACCAAATAAGAAAAATATTTATAGTTAAAAAAAAAAGGTTGAATTTTTAATTACTCATCCACTCATTTGCAGGTTTGGAAAAGTAATGTCACCGTTGGAAGAGACAAAATTTGAAACCAAGTTAGTTTTAATAGTAGCATCCCTCAATTCACAAAACTTTATGTTAAAATAAGTGCAATTTTTTAAAATATTAAACTTTCATAACATAGGTCAAATTCCATATTTATTTAGTACAAATACGGTTTAGGATTATTCTTTGATTATAAAACTTTTAAAAAGTTTATTTTAGTTCTTGGACTTTCAAAATGTCTATTTAAAAAATTTAATTTTCAAACCTTACATATGCAGTTAAATTTCAATGACCAAATTTTGTTGGTTTTAAAATTTATGGAYTAAACCAAAAAAATTTGAAAGTCACAGAGTCAAAATAAAACAAATTTAAAAGTTGGCCAAAATAGATCAAACCTATAAATTTAAATTCTATTTTTAGTCTCATAACTTTTATATATCCTTCCTTTCATTGGCTAAACTATCAAATATTTTGTCTTTAAACATTTATTACCTCCTAAATTTAACATAAATTTGTATTAGCGGTTAATACTTATCATTAATTTCATTAACAATTTTCATGAAAATATGAATTACTTCTAAAATCCAAAACATTTAACGTAGCACATATCACTTCAAACACTCGRCCACATAAAGGTGAGGAAGAAGATAGCTTCTCAAATTTTTAATTATATATTTCATAAAGGTGAAATATTACATTATCTCAACCAACATAAAACCAAAAAAGAAAAAATGCATTAYATGAGAGCTAAAGATTTGCAAAGAAAACAAACAAAATAAAAGATTGAAAGTGGGGAAAAAGCTTGGGTTCTTCCCTGCGGACATTTATCAAACAAACACTCACCGTGCTTCAACTCCATGAAAAACCTTCTCCATTTTCTGATTGTTGCTCAAAGCGCGAGTGAATCGAGGAATCCTCGTCAGTGAATTCACTCTTTTCAATCCTTGTACAGCGTTCCAATCATCTTTGCTTTCCTTCTTYGCAGCCGCCGCCCCGCCTCCGCCTTCTTCTCCTCCTCTTTTTCCCATCCTCATGGATCTACAGCTTCGCGAAACTGCAAGCTCTGGATGGCTCCTCGCGTTCTGCCGGCCCACACTCGTCATCGATCTCGTCAGCATTGGCGGGCTCTTGAAGAACAAGCAAATCACGGCGCAGTCGTCCACCAACGCCCCCGGATATCGGCGTTTCCACTCCCGAACTGCTAGTTTCACCAACAATTTCGCCGCCATGGATCGGTTCCTTGCTGAGGAAACTATGTTGATTACTTGCTTGTTCGTCAGCACATCCCATATCTGCATTTCGTGGTAACAACAATTGACATTTTTAAGCGAATGATTGAGATTCTAGGGCTATGAAATTGGGGGTTTCTTCGTTTTTTTTTTGACTAACCCCATCTGTCGCTAGAACGATGAACTCGTCTTTTCGGGTCAGCTTTCTGTAAGAGACGTGAGGGGTTGAGATTAGCCCGTAATCCTTGAGGCAAAAATCTCCGAAGGATCTTGACATGGCCAGGCCAGGATAATCTTCATCTGGCACCCACACTCTGTATATATCTGGGTCATCTTTTTCTGCAATTATTCTGCCATTGCAATTCTGTATTCTTTCGGTTTCGCCTGACTCAAATTGAAAACAAATGAATGAGGAAGAAGAATATGATAGATAGACAAATAGATAGATAAGACACCCAAATGGCTGGCCTSGTCAACAACTTAAAATTTCTGCTAAATTATTGATTCCTCTGGTCATCTTCAGGGTTAGTTGCTTTATTGTGATCTTTGAATGAACAATTTGTCTCAAATTCATCCTTGTTGATAAGATAAAGTTTGATTGTATTAATGATTATGATGATAGATACCCAAATTGCTTGGTCGACAACTTGAATATCTGCTAAATTATTCATTCCTTTGTCATCTTGTGAACGAACCATTTGTCTCAAATTCATAAGATAGAGTTACCCACATGGAATGTTTGGTTTATGGTCAACTGTTAATTGAATGGCAATTTGTTGATTTTTGTCTCCTCTGGTGCAGAGAACCGCCCGGGAGTCGCCCAAGTTTGCAACCACCAGATACTCTCCCTGATGGTAAAAATGGTAAATAGATTGAACAACTTTTTTTCTTTTCCAGGAAAATTTGAAACAGAAAATTTAATATTTTCCCGGGAAAGTTATATTGTAGTGATTGAAGTAGCCACCCCTCACCTGTTTGATAACTGTCACGGCTGTTGTCCCACTGCAGAAACTATCAACAGATGAATCGAAGCCAAGTTCTTGATCCATTTCTTGGAAAGAATCAACAAGAACAGTTTCCCATCTGGAAACCAAAGGATTGCCGCCACTGTAGTCTGGTCCAACAGAAGCTTCAGAAACCCCATTTGCGAGTCGAGATGGCTGTTTCTTGATTGCCTTGGAGAGCTTTGAGGGCAGCATTTCACGGGCACGGCGAGCAACCCTGTGACCAGATGGGCCATGGCCATCAAAAACTCCACAGAACACCAAATCTTTCTCCCCTGTGAAATCCTGTAAGTTTTGATTCAACTTTCTTTGAATACATTGACACATATCACATCCCCAAAACAAGATAGATCATTGGAACAATGAAAACTTTTGCACAGATCATCCATGAAATTTTACCTCCCAAACTGTCATTGCATCTTGATTGATTCCTTTTTTTCCTCGTTGGGTGAACATTGATGAGAAAGCAGAGGATCCATTTAGTCTAACAATGGCTCCATCTTCTCCACGACGAACCTCTTCCCCATCCTCACCAACATTGGAATCCCCCTCATCCTTGTCATAGGGCATGTGCCCTCCAAACATGTAATCTTTGGTACAGCAGGCTCCCATTTTTGAGACTCCCCACTAGGGCAATCTCAAAAAGGAATTCGACCCACCACAAAAGATCGAAAACCCACAAATATTTGGGGAAGGAAAAGGCATTAAGATGAAAGATTGGAGGTTTCTCTGATTCTGGACCCAAGGGAGAGGGAAACAGAAACAGAGAGAAGGCGAGGGGAGAGAGGATAGGAGATTTCAATTTGCAATTTGAGAGTTGATGGATTGAGAATGTTGTTGGGATGAGAATGAGGAATTTTAACAAACAAAGATTTATATTTAGAAAATCAAAGATGGGTCTTGTTGACTTTTGTGTTTGGTGGGTTTGTTCTTCTTTCAATTCTTGACCTTATTAAGGTTTAATCCCATAATCCCACTTTCTTCTCTCTTATTTTGCCCTTTTTTTCCTCTCGTTTTTTTGTCCAAATATAATGGGAGAGTTGAAGAATCGCTTAAAATTATGATGTGCTATTATGTCTCTTGACTTGGGAAAAAGGTGCTTTTTGGTGCACTTCAATATCTCCCACTTTCATTGGATGAATTCATATCTCAATTCCTCGTTAAAAACCAATATAAATGCGAGATATTATCCTCATTTAATTATTCAAGTCTAAGATTAATGATAAATATTGATTTCACTTTCTTGGTTCAAAGTTTGTAATCCACGTCGATGACTTGATAGATGATCCCAATGAGATTATTTTCAATAATGATGTTGATGGTACAAAATTGGTATTTATTATCTAATTAATATTTTAGGCCAATCCAAGCATATCTCAATACATTATGCATCAATCCTTCTTGGAAGTTGAAGATTTGATTTTTCACACCCGTGTTCTTATAATTACAATTAATCCATTTCCTTCTCCTGCAAGGATTTTTCCCAACCAAAGAATTCTTAGATATAAATAGATTATAACTTAGGGATCATGTGATAGGTTCTTATAATCTTTGAACAATTTAAAAATGTACAATTCTACACGTTGGTTTATTAGAATTTTGGAAATCAGGTTGGGGATAGGTTTAAGAGAGAAGGAAAAATTTTATCCTACGAAAAATATCAATGGATATTTTTGAAGCAACTATAAAAGTAAAGGATTTATCACAAATATTTAAATTAACAAGTTAACATTTCACTATTTTTAAATGAGTTAAAATCACCAATATTAATATTATGGATATCAAACTTATAGATATGAAAGTGTCAATGAAAATTAAATACTCGACCTGTAATAAATGTCCAGATAAACAATTTCTCATTCAGATTTTCCCATTTGAACAAAATAGAAAATAGACAATAGATGCAGGCCAAGCACTATCTATCATTCCAGGCTGGAATTGGACTAATCTAAGCTGTTGATAATCAGCCACAATTCATATTCAAATTATAAACATTATCTGAATTGATTAATATAATTGTGAACATGAATCCATAATCCCGCTTGTCAACCTAAATATAACTCAACTGGTTAAAGCACTTAGTGTTAATAGCAAATGACCAAAGGAAGAAGAAAAARTCTTGAATTTCAGTTTCAGGGATGTGGATGACACAGAGAATGTTAAGAGACCAACAACAGCAGAGAGGTGTAAAATCAGCACAACTTTTACATTTGCAGCTTAAATCTTTAACCAAAACAATGTGTTTCTTGGCAATGATGAAGTTAACAACACCATTTTTCTTTTGTGGAAGGAAAAAAAAAGTAAAATGAGATACAATTTTAAAAGAATGTTATCCAAAAGAATGTGTTTGTGTTTGTTGTTTTACCACCATTGATGAACMAGAACTCCACTTTGCCTGAGAGAAGTAAACAGCTCTATGCATTGAGAATATGTTTTCTCATACTTTGAACTCCTTTGGCCAGGGCAACACCTCTGCCATCTATTGTAATGGCATTCAAGAAACATCTCATCTATCAAACAGATTGCCCCCGTCTCGAACAGTCTCGGAATCAATTCGAACTCGGTTCCTTCCACATCCATCTTCAACACCACGAAATCCTTCTCCGATACCGTGTTCTTCAACCAGTTAGCGAAATCAAACCCCTCAATCTGATTCACCTCCCCATCGAAATGGCCCGATGATTGGACAGGTTGAATCCTGCCCATCCCTCGGCCGCCTTTCTCTTCCTTTTCCTGACCTGGGTCTTTGTTGATTTCAAAAGCCAACGTCTCATTCCTCACCCAGGCAGCATAAGGCAACAATGTCACTGCTTTCTTTGATCTATACTGCTCGTGAAATGTTCGATCGGCTTCAATGGCGTAAACTTCAAAGGTTTTGTTCTGCTTCGGATATTGCTTTTTGAACCAGCTCCCTATGCTTGAGCCATAGCTCCTGGCTCCAACATCCACATAGACATACCTATTTTTGAAGCTTATTTCAGCCATTGATGGCAAATACTTTATTTTCTGTATATTTCTCTTCAAAGTTAACCATGGCTTCAATGGCTCCTCCAAAATCAGAGGCTCAGCATTTCGAACCAGAGCCAACTTATACCCAGGAACAGAGCAATTCTTCTTATGAGAATCTCCATCCAGTTTCAGCAGCCCCTTTTCAAGAACTCTATACTCTTTCTTCAGTACATATTCACGAATTAAAGGCATCGATGGAAGAACAACATCTATATCTCTTGATTTAACTATCTTGCAGCAATTGAATAAATCAACAAAAGAATTGAAACTATACGTATCTTTGGCACTCACATGGACCACCGCAAAMCCTTCGGGTTTCAGTATCCGAGCAATCTCCGAAGCAAACTCATAAGGCCAGCGGGAAATATCCAGGCGGCCACCGCCGGAGAACACGAAATCAAAGGTATTATCACCAAACGGAATCCGATGAGCCTCCCCCTTAATCACGAGAGGCTTCAACGCTTTCTTGAAAATCCCGACCGAGTCCGATACGCCGATCWCCTTCAGCGCCGAAACGTCGGGTCCGGCGGGGGTTTCTACGCACAAGGATTTCGAATTCGGCGATAAGTAGCCCTCGGTAACCAGATCTCGGAAAACGGAGGAGAAAAACTGGACGGTCTTGATCCAATCTTTACTCGAGTACAGATCCGGCCGAGGCGGCCCGATGACGCGAGGATCGGCGTTGTCCGTGAACAACGCCGCATTTCCGGCGCGCCCGGCGCCGGCGATCATGAAATTGAAATTCTCCGGCAAAGAGAAGAAACAGAAGTCCCCGATGCTACAGGATTCTCCAGTAATGGTCACAATATAGGCGAATCGACCGATTATGATAAGAATAGAGAACAGAAGAACTCGCACCAGAAGGTTCCTCAGCGAGGCGAACTTCCCGGACATGGATCCCATGAAATCAGAAGAACATGAAAACAGAAGAACAGAGAAGACAGGGCAGTGGAATTGAGTTGAAGATTTAGCGGGAGCAGAATCGGGAGGAGGTATGGTTGGCTCCGATTAGGGATTTGGCTGAAGTTCCGGCGCCGGCGATCGGAAAATAGAGGGAAATCATGGTTTTGTTCGGCGGCAGGATTTTTAAGCAGCCGCAGTGAGAAAGAGATGGCTGCTGCCACTGCCGGTTGTTCTTGCCTGTGGGATGATGAGAAATGGGAATCGGTGGAGATAATGGAGCGTGGCAACCGGATCAGCCGGTCACCATGTGGATAATGGAATGGAATACAACATGACACTGAACTCTGAAGGGAAGATAGATGCTTTTCTTTTTCCTTTTCTTTTTTTAAGAGAAGAAAAATTCTATTTTTTTTTAATAAAAAGTACATAAAATTTCATGATTCTATTTATTTASTCATTGTCATTTATTTTTTCTTTTTTTAATCTTTTAACATGGACTCACTTGATATTGGGAATTCAAATGTCAAAATTGACTTCTTAGGAAACATTGTCTGTAGGTTTTTGCCAATTTTGATTGTTGGACTTCCTAAATATGTTAAAAATACCATTATTTTTGTTGTACTTGGGATTATTCTATTTTAGTTCTTGTATTTTTAGACGTTGAGGAATTAATTCAATCTTAAAATTAGTCCTCATTTTTATTTGAAGATAATTTTAGTTGGCTTGAATAAAAAAATCATTCAAAATAGGTACGTCGTCCCAAATTTTTAGAGAGAAGGTCGGTTAAAAAGTCGACCATAAACTAACTATGTGAATTAATTAATTTTAAGGCTTATTGAAATTATGAGAATTAAATAAGTATCAAAGTATAGGAACTAAAATGACATTCGGTACTTATTGAACTGTCAAAAAGAAATAAATACTTTAGTTAATGCTATTATTTTACTACCTAATATTTGTTCACACAATACTTGTCTTATTCAACCTATATGATTCTTATACATGTGCCCGCGTATAGTCAAGATTTGAAATTTAGACCGTTATTATGGGTGGAATCTTAGCCATGTCTCATGGCCTTCTGACTAGGAAACACGTGTTCGAATCTCAACTCTCACAAGGATAATATGGGTTAGACCAAGTCACCTGTGATTGATCTAGCTGGAAACCAACTTGAAGCCACGGATAACACAAGGATAAAATCCATTACATGCTAGGTACGAAGCATCGAAATAAATGACTCTTCTGTAAAAGAGATGAAGTCCATTCCTTAAATAAGTACACATTCTTTATGCAACCTAACTAAGTTTGATCCAATACCAATTCGAACTAAGTACTAACGTAAGTTTCATTGTGTACATAGTTGAGCATCAATGTAAGATTATGTTTGTATGTTTGTAGGTCAACATCTTAATATTGATTGGACGTCGACTCGAATCAATAATCTGACTAAAAATAAAGTTTGGCTAGTGATTAGTTAGCTATAAATGCTTGCTATAACTTCTAGCTATTATTTTATTCATCTCATGAATTAAAATTGAATTCTTTCTAGTACTCTCTTAAATTAAATAGGTCGGCTAAATGTTAGTAGCCAAGTAATGAAATATTCCAACAACTTCTTTGCTAATGTCATATCCATGGATATGAAATTACATAATTGCCTTCAATTTTTTTTAATGAAATTTCCCAATTATTCCCTCATCTTGACACATCCTTACAAAACTCTTGGTGTAACCTCCAATAATTGTATTTTGTTGGTTTATGAATATTAACTTCATTTAAAGCAATATATACCTAAAGTTTGGATATCTATTTGAGAGAAAGTTGCTACAAATTAAAATGAGATAATTCTTATCCTCAAAAAAGAAAAAATATATATTTTTATCTTAATACAGAAATAATTAAAATATCATCATGCAATCATATTAATCATGGGATGAGAAAATTCATGGTATATCTTACAAAGTTACAAGACCAAGAAGCTATAGTCAATGCAATCACAGAATTTATGAAAATAAATAGTAAGATTATCAAAAGATATTTCATAGAGAAAGCTTTGATTTATTTTTATTTTTTGGATAATAACTTTAGATAGATATGGATGTGAGGAGAGAACCTCATTTTGAAAAAAGATTCAACTTTTTTTAGTATAATATATAGGAATATATAAGGGGTGGGGGTGGGAGATCGGACTCATAATCTCTTGGAAAGATATATGTCAATTACCGTTAAACTATGCTTACTTTGACATTGATAAAGATTTTTTAATTAGAAATTCTTACTCACTATAGCATAACTTAAATATTTATTTGTTTGTTAGTTCAATAATAGTAGGGGTAGTATTAAACTGTTGATCTTTGAAAATGAAATTATGTTTTTGATTTTGATAGTAAATATTGTGATGTATCTAGTGCATGAATAAACTAAAAATAATTGAAAATTTTAAAGAAATCAATGAAATACAGGTTAAAGTATTTCAGTTGTGATAATTAAAATCTAAGACCATAAAAATGTTTATAGCATTGGAACACACCCSTCTTTGTATCTTATCAACGTTGGTTTGTCAAAATCCAATTTAATTATTGTTATTGAAACTATATCAAACATGCCATCTAGAACCCAAGGAAGAACCTCTTTAAATAACTCCATATAGAAAGGGTTTGGTTTCAAATCCATACCAGAGAATTGGAGGAAATGGTTAATTTAGTCAAAGCCATAATGTGGGTGGGGGTACCCTTCAAAATAAAGCAGGCAGTGAGAGGACAATTTTAAAGAAAAAAATCACATGAATAATTGAGGTTTGTCATTTTTTCAAGTTTGGAAAGAAAAAAAAAAGGTACAGGCTAACACAGCTTCAAAATGGGCCACATCAAAACTGTGCCTATAAATGTCTGCTTCTCTGCACATGGCTTTCGTTGGAGAAGAAGCAGAAGATGAACAACATCAATCAATCGGAAGAAACAGCTCAGCTTGTGCCTTGCTTGTGGGGGAAAATGGCATATTGGGAATTTTAGTTTTTGTTTTAACAAATAAAGAATTGTGATTGGGAGTGGAAAATAGAATTGTGATTGGAGTGGTTTGAGACAAGAGGGATGGTAATCTCTCTCTAATCATTTCAGCATTTATGAAGGATGTGATATTGGTGTCATGTCATCATGAGATTCAATTTCTAAATTCACATATATGTTATTTTGGTAGGGTTTTCAGATAATCTATAGTGGATTTGGGTAATTATTTAGAAAATCTACTCACATAATATCTAAGTTGATTCTCTTGCTATTGAAAAAAATAAAAGTAAACACAATTATTGTTAAAGATAAGTTAGATATTGAACGTATGAATTTGTGACATTCTTGAAAATATGTTATATAATGTATTTTTCGTAAATTCATTATTTTGTCATTCTCCTTCTCACAAACACTCATAAAACTCGCAAGTATGAAACTCTCTTTTTACGATTATGTGCGACTATTAACGGACTTTCATCACCCTATTAAAGAGGAAATTGTACTAAATAATAATAATAATAATAATAATAAACGAAGCATTAATAACATAGATCATATCATTATCTCCCATTTACAACATATATTACAAGTGAAGTGAAGAAAAAGCGTTTTCTATTTTTTATTTTGAAGTGACTATCCGGTGCCGGTGCCGGTAACTCCGAGGTCTTGTTTGTTGTCATCTTTGCCGGCGCCGAAGACGGGGCCGCCCTTACCGGCGGGATCCTCCACTTTGTCCTGAAGCTTGTCGATCTGGATCATGCCCGCATCCTCCCGCGACCGGATGTCCGTCCTGGTCCGGTTGTCGCCGCCGGGAACGGACCCGTAAGTCGTCGCCGTCAACGAATCCTTCGGCTGCGCTCCCTGTGCTCCCGACATCGCTAGCTCTCTAAAATTCAAATTCAAACTCGAACCTTAGTTTTGATGTGGGAAATAAAATTTTTCAAATTTGGGATTATAAAGACACATCAGGAGCCACGTGGCGCTCATGCACGCCCTCTCCCTCCCCCTTCCGCCACGTGTCGATCACTCTCTTCGGTCTCTCTTGTCTCTTTTCGACCATGCAATTCCAAACTAATCCCACTCTAGACATTATTATTATTATTATTATTATTATTATTATTGAAACAACAACGCTACTTGAAGTAGCACTTATTCTATCTATTGTCTAAGTTATGAGAAAATAGTTTCAAGTTAGGAATATTTATTCATAGATGTGAGTTTATGATTGATATGATTTTAGATAACACTTCAATAACTTTTCAACAATCTCGAAAATTGCAGCGTATTACTTAAAATTATGTTAGAGGTTTGTACCTGTTGATGCTCGATATTAATTAACTAAGTTTTTATCTTCCACTCATCCATCACATTTTTTCTATATTATTATTTCTACAAATAACTTTTTTCTATCCATGAATCATTTTTTTTCTATATTATTCTCATTTTATACTTCCATCATATAACTTGGATGTTTTAACATGTATGGTCTTTCAAATGTTAAATTTCTAACATTGACTTCAAAATGGGAGTAAAAGTAGTATTTGGACAGCCATAAATGTAGTATAATTTAGATATGAAATATTATTAAAAAAAATTGTCGCAGGTAAAAAAGTAATTACGAGTATAGAAGAGTTAAAATAGAAGGATAAGTAATATTTATATGCTTATATCAATCTTTTGAGGGACTGCAATTAATAAATATTTAAGTTTGTTTATAATAGGACACAAGATGTAGAAAAAGATTAAAACACTTATCTGTCAAATAATGACACTATAATGGTTATCTACCGTTTGCAAATTTATTAGTAATTATCTGTTTAAAATACCACAAAKTTTTTGGTAATTATCTGTTTAAAGGACCATAAATAAATAGTTGGGGTCAAATTTATTGGTAATTATTTATTTATTATAGGATACAAGGTTTAAAAAGAGATTAAAACATTTATCTCTCACATAGTGACATTACAATAATTATCTGTGGTGTGAGATTAAATTTATTGGTAATTATCTGTTTAAAGAACAATTAATTAATAGTTGGGATCAAATTCATTGGAAATTTTCTGTTTATAATGGGACAGAAGATGTATAAAGAGATAGAAATTAATCAAATATTTTATCTAAATGTGGTCTTTTTTTTTCTTTTTTCTTTAAACAATTAATTATAGTCTTAACTGTAAATCGGTGGATATGGGCCAAACTTTGACCTCGGGCTGACAGAAGTTCTGGCCCAATATTTAGTGGTCCCAGTGACTTGCTGTGAGCCACGTGTTTCAGTTGACCAAATTGAATAGCTGTCAATTATTATTAAAAAAGTAAAAAAAAAAAAGAAAAAAAAAGCAACTATTGGTATTGGTCTAATTTCAAAAAAATAAAAATAAAAAAATAATAATAATAAAAAAATAAATAAAATCAACCATTGATTTTAAACTAACAAACTTGACTGCATCTACCGTTGACTTTTGATGTCTACATTGACTTTATGTCTATTGAATGAATACATTTGGGCTTCTAAGCTGGGTATTATATATATTTTCCATTTGTCGTTATAGTTCAACGGTAATTAACATATACCTCCAACAAAGAGGYTGTGAGTTCGAATCCTCTCCCCAACATATTGTACTATATATATATAGTACAACATGTTAGTAATTGTGTGTTTGGCATTCCAATTCTCAGAGTCCTTGGTGGAACCAACCACGACAAGGATGATTCCTCTCCTCCTAATATCGAAAAGAAGAGAGTACGCCGTGCAAAACAAGATTAGCACTGCTACACAAGTAAGTTAGTATTCAGTCCGATCTATTGTTCAAAGTGTGAATAGTTTCGCATACCTTGCAAAAGAGAGTCTTGGATCTCTATTTATAGAGATGAACTCCAACAAGGCTTCCGACAACGATCCTACAACTCTCCAACATTCCGAAAAATGAAATGTGTTATCGGAGAACATCCTTGTTGTCTCTACACCTATGAGTGTTCTTCAGGTCGGCTCGTACCTGGAGTAGGTTCATTCTGTAAGTTGATGTGGAATCATTTCACTAAATGAAGTCCACCTAGATGTTGATACCTCCAACAAATTGCAATAATATCAAGTTTATATACAGCCTACCAAGGAGTCCGACAAATCATTCAATTTGTTAGTACAAATTATACATTTCATGGACCAGTTTTTATCATCGTCGACTTTGTCAGTGATCAGGTAACTTGACCTTTCTTTATTTCCTTTAACTCATGATTCTCTTTAAATTTTCACATTTAGACCTTGGACTTACAAAGTAGGTTCTCAAACTCTCAATTTTGTACTAATTAGTTCCTTATTTGTTAGACATTTTTCTAATTCATACATTTATTAGATACAAATTTGAAATAAATTGAAAATTGAGAGATATATTAGACAATTTTAAATTTTGGTCAACCTATTTAGAAATACCTCTAAAAGTTAAAGTATTAAACTGTTAATGAAGTTGAAGGAGGTGGCCGKYGACAGGTTTTGGCCTTCTTGTTAACTTTAGCAATGTCAATTATAAAACTCTCAATTCAGTTTTTTCGTTTGATTTTAATCGTTAAACAAATTATACTTTTGGTGTTTGAGATGTAAACTTAATTGTCATTCAGTCTGTGTTTCAAAATTGACGTTACGTCATATTTTCATTAAGTCAAAAACACTAATGGTACGTTAATCTAACTTAAAAGACAAAATGGTATCAAAACCTCGTAAACTAAATAGAAACAAAATCCAAACTTAAAAAGGACAAAAGTGATAATTGTGAAACTTGTTGGACCAAATAGAAACTAAATCTAGACTTCAAACTTTAGGAGCAAAGTCATCGCACTAGTGCTTTCCCTTATTCATTTCAATTTATATTTTCATTTTGTTTTAGTTTTGTTTGAGGAGTTGGTGTGTCAAATGCTTGTGTGAGTACTTAATTATATAAAGAAAATTGTATGATTTGAGTTGTGAAGAAACATTATTTACCCAAATAATCTATTTGAATTTGAAATACTAATTCACTATGTCAAAATGATAGTTATAGAATAATATCCCAATATTCCTTTGTTGAATATGAGATTATTTGATAATTCTTTATTGTAATCACTCAATTGACTTTAATATGTTTTTAATCTCATTTTAGTCAAATGAATCATGGTAGATAAGTAGTATAGAACATTTAGTTTGATAAATGTATTAGAAATATGAATTTACACTTTCATTTTATCATTCATTGATGATAATATTTAAGATTGTGCATGATAATAAAAATAAATTTATAATTTTGTTCATTTGCTCACTATAGATGGTTGAAAACCCTATATATTTCTTAATTCAAATTATTTTCAACCAAGAAAGGAAGGAAAGAATTTACACATTTATTTGGATCGAGTTAAGTAAGAACCAACTATCCAGATCTATAATCAACTTCACCCGCTCTATTTCTTAAAAAGAATTCATGCAAAAAAGATTGGAAGTAAAACTAATCAAATATTTTGCATCTCTGTGTCTTATAACTCATCAAATACCTCATCGAGATCCAAAGATAAGCCTTTATTTAAGACCAATTTACTAAAATAAAAAATGAAAATGTTTTATTTTTCTTTTGGGGAAAAAGATGAAATGAATTTAATTTAAGCCTCATTTCTCTTTCTTTGCTAAAATTGAACCACTCAAAGCTTGAAAGTGAGTAGGAGAATATGATTTTAAATAATTATTTTAAATGGTGAGTTTTCAACAGAAGTGGTTCTATGGTGTAGTGGTTAGCACTCTGGACTTTGAATCCAGCGACCTGGGTTCGACTCCCGGTAGGACCTCTCTTTTAAATTTCACTATTTACGTATTTTTTATTATTTAATATTCAAAATAAAATTTACCCATATAGGCGACAATTGATGTTAGGATGTTATATACTTTTTAGTAATATTGTTATAAATGATGAACTTATCGAGGCTTCTCCTTGAGGGAATAACTTTAATTGTTATGGATAAGTGTGATAATTTTCATGGTATCACAAATTTTACCATTAGATAGATTTTTATTTGAAAAATAATTGAAAACAATATTCTCATGTGTCAAATGATTTAAAAAAAAAATTATGAAAAAATTGATAGGATTCCATTTCCGACAAAGATAGCAATGAGTTTTTTTTCCTCATATTTTTACTTATTTGTAAGTTCTCACGGAGTTATTTAATAATAGATTTTGTATATTAATCGAACCTCATTTTAGAAATTTGATTCTTATACATGAGTGAGTTTTTATTGAATATAGGAACACAAATTATGACATTTATCTAAGTTTAAACATAAAAGTTAAAATAGTTTATTTTAAAAAGCTAAAGTAGGGTTGAATCGATTATGATAAAAATTATTAAACAAACCAAAATAGGTTAAAGTTGAGATTTAATGATGAAAAAAATATTTAAAAACAAAAATCAATACAAAAATATATCTAAAAACATAAAAGAATAAAAATATATTTAAAAACAAAATTCAATAAACTTATATTTAAAAACAAAAAAAATCAATAAAAAATATATATTTAAAAGAAAACAAAAAACGAACAATGCACCTGGATGGATTAAAAACGTAGATGGTATAAAAAACAAGAAAGCAAAAAAAGGTCATCCATTGGGGACGTAGAGGTTGGGGCACCCATACAAGAGGAGGAGAAAATCATTGGACCAACATGGTTTTATGGTCAATAATATACACTATATTATCTATATTACAAATCCAGGGGTACGTCCCAACATGCATCTACCCCTGGTTATGGATGAATTGACCGAAAGAGCTTACACTCAAGAGGTCTTTCCTTGATAGGATGAGTACGACTATTATGCATGAGCTGACCAAAGCAACTTAATTATGCTCACGATGTATTCACTTGAGGGATGAGTATAATTGTTATGGATGAGGTTATCAGAAAAGTTGATACGTCGTTATCGCAGCCCATTCTTATCACTAGGATAGCTCTCTAATGAGGTGATCTCGATATCAAAAAAGTCATCATTGYCATATTCCTCTAAATAAGGCATGATACTTCTCTTGTAGGCAATTCATAACTAGTTGAATACCATACAAGCTCGGATCTGACTTAAGCATCAAAGTATTGTAAGGAAGCATCACATCAATGTGTATTTTTATTTTTATTTTATTATTATTATTTTTTTCATGTTAGTTACTTGCATCTTTCAAGCCATCCTCTGAAACCTACTTGTACATGAGTTTTTCAACTTGTGCTTCTCACTCATCTAAATTGCATCAACAAATACAATAATATAAAATTTTGTCAACATGAACATTGATTAATGATATCAAATGTTTAGATCTCCGTAGTCTCACATTTATTGTCCAAAAAAAATGAAACTCAGGTAAGCAGTGATGTTTAGATAAACTAGTGTGTGTATATATACATATTGTGATCGATTTTTTTAGTCATATCTTACTTTTCATTTGAATTTAGGCACTTTATCGTTGCACTCTAGAGACTTATTTTTGTAACTAAGCTTGGATATTTTCATGGTTAGATTCGAGGTCTTAATTTGAATATTTTATCGATTGAATTGTGTGCAATTTATTAGCTCATGAGCACTTTTTTGGAGATGTAATAGTTTCAGTGCTTATTAAAAGAAAATGGAGGACGAGTCCGTACGAGGATGGAGAGGACATACCCGACCTGAAGTAACCCCCTTGCCCTTCCTAGCCTCTAACTAACATCAATATTGTCCATTTCTTTCTCATAGAATGTCAATGTGACTCAAACAAGAACACACTGAGCAAAGGGAAATTATGTTTTTCAGCTTTAGTAGAGAGGAGGATTAACAGTGAAGCTAATTGGTGACCATCTTGAGCAGCAAGAAGCCAACTTCTCCAAGTGAAAGAGGTGCTTTCTGATGCGATAGAGGTGGATGGTGTAGAGCAGCGCAGCCAAAGTCACCGCAGCGAACGACACAAGAATCAACTTCCAGAAATCCTACGGCAAAAAAGGATAACTTACATTTTTAATCCTTCGAACTTAAAACTATGTAATAGATCCATGAACTTCTAATTTGATGTCTTTAATAAGACCATGATCTTTCAATTTAGTGTTTAATAGGTTTGCGAATTTTTTAAATATGTGAACATCAAAAGTTCATAGACCTATTAGATACAATCCTGAAAAACTTGTAATTTAACCAAACAAAAACCGTACACTATGGGCTTGTTTGGTAACATTTCTATTTTTTGTTTCTGTTTCTTCATTTTTAATAAAGAAAAATAGGATTACATSTCCCCCAACACCCATGAATTCCAATATGACCAAACACCATTTATATGTATATTTTGTAACAAATGGGAAACATAAACAAGAATCGAGAAACAAGAAACGGGAACGTTGCCAAACGGGCCATATATTTCCATAACTGTTCTTCAACAATGATGAAGATGCATCACCTGAGGGTTTGAGACGACAATTCCCATAACATATCCCATCAAGTCCATGGATGATTGGAGAGCATTTTGCGCGCCTCCAACGACACAACGATCAGATTCGGCGACTTGATCCTAATGACAACAAAAGCAAGCAATCAAAAGAAGAGCACAGTCATAGCAGATTCAAAATTGAATAGGTAGAAAAAGCTACCTCATTCATTACATCAAACAACCTTATTGCTATATGAAGCAAATGTAGTGTTTTATACCTGCATTTGCTGGATGATGGCCAAATCGAACATCCAGAGTCCGAGCCGAGATGTTGCCACACCAATCATCAGCATATATGCTGACCAGAGGCTGTTTTGCACCCATATTGAAGCAACACACACTACTAAGCAGGTCCACTACAATTCATGTTCAATATCAGTGGCCGATTATTCAAACGGACATTTGTTAGTCTCTCGTTGGCCAACAATGCTTAAGCATACCTGAGACCAAATAGACCAGAGTCCTGTTCGAAGCGTCGAAATTCGAGACTGTACAATAGGGTAAACAAGTGTTGCAGCTATGCCAATGGTGGCACTTATTCCCCGTGCAAGTCCAATGATATAGGCAGGCATACCTTCCCATTCTAAGGTAGCTGTCATTAATGTTCCGAAGCTGGAAGAAAATTTTGACATAACATCAGAATTGAATCCTACTTTAAGATTCAGCTGAACACATCCTCCTTCCAGGCCGCCATAGCAAATCAAAATGCTTCTAAAGACAACTGTAAAGAATGGGATATATATAGCACTCTCTAATGAATACAATCCTGATGCAAGCAAGTTCAAAGACGGATTACCTAAGGACCGTGAAGAATAGCACAGCGAGAGCAATCCCCGGGAGTACGGTGTCTTGCTGCAAGTACACTTTCCATGCACTAGTAAATGGGAACATTGCAATCCAGTCGATCATTTTTGTTTTCCATTTCCTTTCAGCCGATCTTCCATCTTCGTCATTCGGAAGTAAGCTCTCTATTTGTTGAGGAGCAGAACTACTCTCTTCCACATCTCTTAGAACAAGTCTTGAAACCCTCCTTCGGCTGCTTTCTTCCAAGGCTGGAATCCCGTCATATACAGAAATGAAAAGCCAATACTCTAACCAAACCGATATGATATTCCAAACCGCCAAAGTCAAAGCAGATGCTTTCAATGAAATGAAACTAATGATGAAACCAGATATTACAGGACTAAGCAGTTTGCAGACTAGATCAATCCGCCTAATTGTTGAGTTTATATTCGTCAGTACTTCTGGAGAATGGCCTTCTGATATCACCACCACCCTGTGTAAAAAACAAAGTTGCAATTCAAAGGTTTCACATTTGGAACTTTCATGCTTTTACATTGAACAAACGATCAAACCATCTAATTATCTAGAATGAAACATTAACCACGTTCACATTTTTCAACAAAATTATATATTCTCCTTAAAGATAACGTTCAGTTACCATTCTCTTTCAATCAAGATGGTACCCGCAAGAGACGAAAGTGCGCCAACAGCTCCAGAGACATTGGTCAATATCACAAGCAAAATGAACCCTGTGAAATAGATCGATCTCAAATCTGAGTAGAACAGTAATGCAACCACTGTCACTCCAGCAATTATATACGAAAGATTTTGAGTCACCAACCAAACTTTCAGAACCTGCTAACAAGGAACCAAAAATGTAAGACTAGCTGCAACAATTTAAACGAAGCAATCAGCAAGCACTTCACCAAAGGATATTTGAAGAGTAATATGATGGTTTCATTATCTACCATTTTTAACCATCGATTCTTACTTCTCAAATGTCGAGTAAATGATCACAATGAATCCATATGGTCGGGGTTTTGCACATATATCTAATATGGATGAAAAAGAAGTTCAATAACTGTCACAGTTAAAAGAGGAATAAAGTCTTATCAGTCTACCCATAACAGTGACTGTGTACACTAAAGTCACCTTTAACTTACTGTAGGAAGCAGAGAAAAGTAAGTGATGCTCAACGTATCAAAACCGCAAGCATAATAAGGATTAAAGTCACCTTTGAGTTCCTTTTTCTCTTTCTTTCCTTTTAAATAATGGAAAGTCTACATGTAATCGCCCACAAAGTTGTAAACGAAGCAAAATGAAACAGAGATTTAAAAGTGACAAAAAGAGAGCAAAACCTTGACGTATGCTAACTTATCGACCCATTCTCCAACTACTGGACCCAAAAAAGCAGTGGAAGCAGATTCCACCACACCATAAATTGCCGCGAAAAGTAGAGAATTCGGCCACACACTGATCATATAGAGACCAACGGAGAATTCCCACATTCTGTGATGAAATTGAAGGCAATAAGAACAAACCCAAATCCAATAAATTTCACTAAAACAATTGGATCATAGTTATCAATCTTATGCAACTAGTGCCATATCTAAAAATTAAAACCAGTATTTGATCGAAGAAACAAATACACAAACACAACACCTGCAAAGAAATCCTACACAATCCTAGCATTTCGGTTTGAAATTTGTTTAAAGAAAAAACAGGATGTCAAATCATTCTATTAAATAAACAACGAGGTTCATCTAAAATCTATCAGGACACAAAATTACTCATTCGGAACAAGAGATGGAAAATGAAATGATATGAATCATTTAGCGTGGCAACTATAAAACAGCGAGAAGAAAAACCTAGCGCCCCATCTGGCCAAGAAGTGTCCAGCGTAAAGGCTCCGAAGAAGAGAAGAAGGAAGAGGATTCTCCGATGAAGACGAAGGAGGATATTCTTCAGGGGACAAAATCGTCTCCTTCTCCATCACTTTTTTCTTCAATCACAGCTTCCCTCGAAACTCAATCGGCCATTTCCTTTGATCAAATTACAGTAAACCAAATCATACTCATTCAATTGAAGAAAAGGGTAAACAAATCCGAATCAATATGATCGACTTTCGAATTGCCAAACGAGAAATCAAATTTTATTTTAAAATTTGGAAAGTGGTTTCAGCCTTGGATCAATCATAAGATTCACAAAAGCAACAAATCTGAGTAATATTTTTGGAATTTCTTGTTTAAAAATAAGGATTTCTTTGTCTACGGTGACGAAAGACTCTTCTGAGAACTGAGAAACTGAGAATCATGAAGAAGAAAGAGACTCACTCAGATCAGTCAGATACTCAATTTTTGTTTTATTTTATTTTATATTCTAAATGCTTACGTGGAAGGACATGCTCATTGCCATGTATGCATGTGTAAATTATACAAAAATTAGATGTCGTATGTGTTACATGGAAAGATAATTTACAGATATTACAATTGTTTTTTTCTTTGTATCACGGGTATACCTTATGTTTTGTTTTTTATTTTTTTCTTTTTTCGGGGAATCATATAAATTTTTAAAAAATAGGAACTTGTTTTTTAAACAACAAATGTGAAGATGATATTAAGCCTCCAAGCTTTAATATGGAGCAAGAGGTCTTAATTGTTAGTTATTGGGAAACTCGGATTTATAACATCTTCCATATTTGACTTTGGATTTTTTTACGTAAAATCTCACTCCTTATTTTTTACCCCTTCAATTTTTTAACATTGTAAAAAGACGTATTTGTCATATAGTTAATAAATAAGCATTTATGATATATTAAATTTTCACCTAACTATTCACCAAAATCTAAATTGGTCAAATTCTCAATTATCAATATTTTACATATGCTTTGAACTCCTTGAAGTTTTTAAAATCCTCTCAAACAAATATTGTTTAAAATCCTCTCAAACAAATATTGTTCTCCACGTTGTTTGATCATTGTCCCTACATTATCTAATATCATTATCAGCACATTTTCACTTTTGAAAAGTTGGGCATGTGTTACAACCTACAACTTTTTTACTTTAAAATTGCTTAATTTATTTGGAACATTTCCCTTTTTGACGTCTTTGTATTTATTCAATCTTCTGCTGGAACGGCCGTTTTGAGAAAAAAAAAACCAATGTTTAGTAATTGTCTCGGATCTATACCTGTCCGAGCTTGTATGAAGATTTCACCGGGATTGAATATTCTTCAATCCCGGTGCAATTTTGGTTCAGGACATAATCCGGGACATGTCCCAGACTAATCCTGAACCAAGATATGTCCTGAACCAAGATTGGTCAGGAACGGTCCGGGATGAAGGCTTTTTATGTTTTTATTTTATTTTATCCTTCTTCTTTGTTCGATTTTCAAGGTTGCCAAACATCTCTCATCTTTTTTTTTCTTTTATCTCATATAGTTTTATTCTTTTTACAGGATGCCTCGTGTTTTTATAACATTCGGTGGAGATTGGAATGATAGTGAAAAGGATTATGTTAGTGGTCGTATGAGAGGATTGACAATGGATACTACAACCACGTACGAAGAATTTCTAGGTCACGTGTATAGATTGAGTAATATAAACCCTACAGTTTGATATTATAATTAGACGTGTATATCATTTTGAACCCAAAATTTGTGTAATGAAGATAACTAATGACAATAACCTGAGTTTTTTTTTTTAACTGGTGAAGATGTATTTGAATTACCTGTATATATATCTACCGTGTAAAAGCAGGAAATGAAACATATATGTTTTCTTTCCCATATTATATAAGCCAACATGTGTTCCTTATTCCTATGCCCACAATTTGTATTCTCCAATTTCAAAGACCCACATTTCTTATACCCTCATTTCCTTCCTCATCATCGAACCCCTCTTCTTTCCAAACCCCATACCCCTCCTACAGGCATGTAGGTCACGATATATCATCTCTAACACCATTGGATTCAGATGTTGTTCCATGTAATCTGGGAGATGACCAGAGTATGTGATTTGGATGCGTCAGGAGTGTGGAATGATAACCAAGAGGTTGATGATGAAAGTGATTAATCATATGATCCGTTGAGAAAGTTAGAAGAAGGAGACGATGAAGCAGAATATTGGAATGAGGTTGACGATGATGATGCACTTGATGAAGAACCTAATGTGTAATAGGTAAACATTGATATTAGTGGCTAGGTTAATGGTATGCAATTGTCTCACCGAAAACCTTGATGCTGAGAAATTGCAAGTCATGGTCTAGTCTTTTGGGACTAACGAAGTAAAGGAGGGTGAAGTATTTTATTCGAAGAAAAAGTTGATTTTGAAAATGCATTTAGTTGCAATGAGGATGAATTCCCAATTTTGAGTAAAAAAATTGACACCATAACTATATGTACTTCGGTGCATTCAACACTAAAGTGAATTAAGTTTATATAATAAAAAAAATCGTACCTTTGACATTTTCTTAAGGTATCTCTGAATACTTTTCAGGACGACTTCAATGCCACCCACTCTATTATCAAGACTCGTCATGATGGCCTCAATAGCACCAACACAATCATCGAGCCTCCTCAACCGTCTACTGATCCTCTTTTTGAAATTCGTCTTCTTCGTCCTCTTGTCTAGCACTTGCCCGTCATTTTATTCTTCATCAGCCACGACATCGTCCATTGGAAGGGTTGCTTCTTGAACTTCCTCTTCTTCCAGATCCTCTACAATCTTCTTTTCTTTGTCCTTTCCTCCTCTTTCATGGTTTACCCTTTCTACAGCGGGAGGTGCTTGAACATCAGGAGGATCAGGTCTTGCGTCAATGTTGTGTCTTTGAGGGGATATGATGCAGGCTTCTGGTGGTGCATGGTATGGTTCATGTACTAGCTCAATATATGTCGACTCCAAATATACCTTAACCTTGGACTACATAAAACCTATCGTTAGGTACAAATGAAAAACAAATACTAACTAAGCATACTAGCACTACGCATTATTTACCCACGTGTTCTCGAATACACCACTCAGCAACACACGAAACCCACGATAATAACATGACCATCTGAGAAGTCGAGGAATTGCGTCGTCGTTCAACCTTGTTGCTACTCACATACTCAACTTCCAGATAGTCTCGTACGCCCGTACCTGGAATCCCATGAAGTTAAATTAATGATGTAGTTAAATAATCAATTTAATGATACAGTTGATTTAAACCTCACTAACCTGAAACGTGTATGGAAACCCATAGAGACTATAAGTCTCAACGTTTGCGGGCTCTTTCGCCGCCTTATGTTGGTACGCCACTTGTTTATCCTTTAGAGCGTTCTTTAAGTTCCAGAGTTTCCTTTCAAAAATCAGCATACTTCAATCATAGTTGCAGAACATCTCCCACCAATCCACAATTCCTAACACATTCGTATCCATGTACTGCTTCCTCTCCTTATCCATCATGGCTAGCTCTATGAAGTAAACTATGGCAACCTTGACAACATCCTTGTCATTGTCAAAACCATGCTCCATAAAAATAGTCTCCAGCTTCGAACACTTAACCCTCACACTATCCTTAAAATACCGTACACTAAGTCTTCGACTAGGAATATCGTCATCTAATCTATTCATCATATGTTTGAGCCAATGATTAGGTCAAATTCTCACTTACTAAAAGACACCCTATTCCTAAATAGGTCAAAGCTAATGACATCCTATCTAGGCTCCTCAACCTCTCTCAACAACAGGTGATGGATCAATGAACTATTAAAATATAATATCCATGTCCAAAATAGGATCAAAACATGTTTGCTTAAACATGTCTAATTGGGTTGGGGTTAACCTGGCCTTAACCATAGTAGTGGTTTTTTCTATATGAGCAGGGTTTGTCAACGAGATCGGAAACCAATAATTACCGTTGATCTTAAGTTTTAAATCCACCGTATCTCCTTAACAAAGTTAAAATAAGAAAATTAGTTAAAGACTAAGTCAATTAGAAAAAAAAATGTCTTCAATGTAGATCAATTATATTTTCTTTCATTCATCTCAGTCCGACACAGACAGGGACAAGGACTAGGATGAAAGGTAGAAGGAAGGTTGTTCTTCTGCCTTTCATCCCAATCCATGACAGAACGGGACAAGGTCTGAAATGGAAGGTAGAATGATAGATTTGAGATCATCTCGGATTAAGACGTTCCGCCTTTCATCCTTGTGCTTGTCCCGGTCCCGCCCGAACCAGGATGAAAGGCGAACATCCTTCTTGATCTAAGATGATCTGGAAGGCTGTCCTTCTACCTTCCATCCCGGTACGAGACAGACTGGGACAAAAATCGAGATAGAAGGTAGAAGGTCAAAATTTATCTCGGAACGAAGGATTCTACTTAGATGCTATATTCATCAATCCCGGAACGAAATGCATCGGGATTAAATCCAAGATTAAATCCTTCGTTTGCTTTTTAAATCTGATACCTACACTGCCTAAAATTTAACCTAAGACTACTTGACTGCTTATAGCGCCGAAAATGAAAATCAAAACAAAAAATAATGAAAATTTTTGTTAGATTGGAGCCCACTAACCTAGCTGCCTCCGAGATCAAGACAACAATGATATTGGCGATAGTGGGTGTGAAACGATGGAAGAGATTGGAGGAGATTGTTGATTGTGGATGGGTGTGTGCGAAAGTTCGAGATGGCATTGTGAGATCCGAGATGGGGTTTAGAGTTTTAGGGTGGAAATGGAGGGGAGACTGCCAGGATACATCCGGGAATAGGGAGGGATTGTGGTTTTTGAAACATGAGGGTACTACGGTAATTTCACTTTAGAATTTTTGAAAGGATAAAAAATAAGGGGGAGAGGAGTCAGAAAGAAGGTATTTTCAAAAAGGGAGTCATAAATTTGAAATCAATTATAGAAGAGATTATAAATCTCAATTTCCCCTGGCTAATGACTAATAAAAAATAGTTCACTATATACCATTTATGATAAAGTATTTTAACTTTATATGCGTCCTAGGTATTGACGCAGTGGCAAGAGACCTGACACTCAAGATCCAAGTTCGAGCCCTCCTGCATCGAAAAATTAAAAAAAAAACCCGATATACCGTTATAAAGCTTATCATTAATATTTCTTTTATCATTGATTAAATGTATCACCAATATGTTGTTCAAAAAAAAAATAATAAAATAAAACATGATGTCAAAAAGTCCATGTTACATATATATGTTAGTTTATAAATATATTATTAATAGAGGTAGCTATTTCATCAAAAATATATATTTTAACTTATCGACGCATGCTCAAGTTTGACATCTAACATTTATTGTTAATGACATTACAAATATTTTTTTACATAAATTTCATAATGATACTAACAGATAACTATGCAGACTAATGTACGTGTCATATCATAATTCACTAGTAAATAACTCATTTCGAGATCCTCTATTATGTGGATGAGTAGTTTTCTGCTGTGGCTTTTACTCAAAATGGCTGAATTTCCGTCCTTCCTTCCAAAACCATCGACCCACACTTATACTAAAAAAATCTCTCTCTCTCTCTCTATATATAATTGAATCATTCCATGACTATATCACATTCCATAATATATAATCCACAAACCTATAATTATGATTTATCGTCAAACAGAAATTGCTTGGTAAAACATCAAAACATAATTACAAGATCAAGAAGTATTCAACAACTCATGATGATTACCTGCAATCTCTAAGAAAAATATGAAAATAAAATAATACATATAGTTCATAAACGGGGAGGGGGAGTAATTCTACATCATATAACTAGGTCTGTATAACATTATATATTCGTATAAATGTAACAGTACCAAAGAATTTCACTGTACTAAGAAAGAGGCCATATAATATACGGGGCCATAACAGAAGTATAAGGTGAAGACTGAAAAATATGCATGAGATGAGACGCTACTACAATTACAAAAATTACATCAAAAGTATGTTACATACCAAAATTTAATCCCATTCCAATACAATTTACATTTGCCAAGATTTTACTAGATACCCAGAAACTTTCATTGCTCCAGCTCTTGTTGAATAATTCTCTACCTCGTATGTCGTATACCGTTCGTTTCGTCTGCCGGGTGGTATTGCTTTGTTGATGAACCAGAGCAAGAGACCAAAATAGAGAGAGACAACAGAGAGAGAGAGAGCAGGGGGGAGGGGGGGACATGTGACGTATGCTTTACATATATGAAGCTTAGAGAAGAAAAGGAACACTATACTACCGAAATTTGACCATTCAAGGGGGAAGAAATTTCAACCCAGTTCATGGCAGAGCAGCGATGGAGCATTTATGAACTGTAAGAGCTGAGGCTTATTCAGAATCACTCCAACTATCAGTATCATCATCTTCATCACTTCCAGCAAATGCCTGTTACATAGATTCCAAATAAGTTCCATTTCTACGACAAATAGACAAGCAAGGGCGGGGGGTGGGGAAGGTAGAGAGATACCTGGCGAATTGCGTTTGCTTTCTCCAAGATAGCAGCAACCCTCAAATTGGTTTTTGGACCCTGCACGCTGGGTCTTGTTACGACTGCAGGCTTCAAGTTGAAGGACTGAAGAGTACAATCAGAATAATTTTGTTAGATAAACACTCTACTCTGAAATGTGTAAAAACGATAATATAAGCCAAATTTAATAAGAGCAAAGTTCAGCTTCAACCTTGGTTCGAATCTGTGCTAGCAGTGAATCTCTTTCATCAACCTTTGGTCCAATTTCAGGTAGTACCCGATCAGAAACTTTTCTCAACTGCAAGTTGGTAATGAAAGTTAATTCCAAGTATTTTACAAGGATGTCACCAAAGTCAAAATAGGTAATGAAATACTATCTAACCTTGCTTTTATCGTGGGCAGCAACAGCATCAATGAGAGGGCTTCGTGGACGAAGAAGCTTGCTAGTAGGTGGGTTTCCATTTGGCAAACCAACCCCAGAGGTTGATAGCAGAAGAGATGTATTAGAAGATGAAGCTACTTCTTGCTCCGTAGTTGGCAAGTCGTGTTGAGATTGTTCATTCATCATGAATGACGGAGGCCCCATCATGACATGGGAATTTCTTTGTTCCCCTTCGATATCTTGTGAGACATGTTGAGACATGTCATGCTTTAAGCCTATTTCTGATGCTGAGTTACTAAAAGGTTGTTGGAATGACTGCCCATATGAAGATCCACTATCAATTTTACAATTTCGAACGTCAATTGTTGGTCCTAGTGAGGGCAGGTTCAGATCAGACCGTACTTTTTCTCCATCAGGTGAAAGAAAATCCTGCTCTGGGTTTTCCTTGGGCATTGGTGGTAACGTTAAAAATGGATTATTATATTGTTTATCCATGGTGGCAGAACTATATTGAAAGTTTTCGTTGCTGATCATGGGCAGTTGCGTTGAGAATGGAGGTTGCATTGTGCTATGTACCATGGGACCAGATACATGTGTATGCTTCTTATCTTGAAAGCAAATCTCAGGTTGTAGGATCTCTGCATTTGATGATTCTAAACACATACCCTTCTCTTCAGCTTTTCGTGGTAATATTGATTGAAGTGGATCTTCACTTCCAGGTGGAGCAGGAAAAGCTTGCTGAACCTTCCCTAATCTCCACTGCATTGGAGGTAGAGGGGGTAATGGTGGCATCTCACTCAAATTGACTTGAGGTACCTCAGGCAGCAGGATGTAGCTCGGTAGGACTGGCTGTAATGTATCCATTGTACGACCTGTCATATTGAGTTCACCAATCGGATGTTGTATAGTTAACTCTGATAGTGAATATCCAGCTTTAATGGTTTCTTCACTAGGTAGGACAGGCTGTAATGCACGACCTGTCATATTGAATTCACCAATCGGATGTTGTATAGATAACTCTGATAGTGAACGCCCAGCTTGAATTGTTTCTTCACTAGCATTGCATTTAGAACTTTGATCTTGTTGGACTGGATCCGAAGATTGTACCAGTTCAACCTTTTCTTCATCTAACTGACCTGGAGATCGTATTTTTATGCATTGTTCAAGACGTGAAGAACTGGAAACATCATCTGCTTGTATAAGCTCCACTTCTTTGTGTTTAGCTTGCAATTCTGATGATGGCTCGTTGGAAGTTTCAATGGCAGAGGACAAACATAGAGGAGGAGAAGACATAAATTCGATGCCTTCTTTAAGATCACCCTGATGCAAAGAATTTGATTGTGATTCCAGATTTCTCAGGTCCAAAGATTTTGCGTTGAAAGAGAGATCATCAATAACTGAAGTGCATTGGGTCTGTGTAGGCACAGGTAAATTATCAATACCATCAATCTTCCCTGAATCAGAATGGTCAAAAACCAATTCGTCTTTAGAGTCTAAAGGAGCACAAGAAACCTCTACTGGTTCTACTGAATAATCTGAAGTATCTTTAAATCCATTCTGATCTGGGTATGGATTCTCAAAGCCAGTATGATTCTCTAGCAAATCACTCTTCATATTCTCTGATGTCGATAAAAGACCTTTTGAGGATGCACAAACAACTTCATTTGCATCATTAACAGTCGTAGGATCAGTATCAAAAGCAAATCCATCTGCTTGAAATGTTCCAGTTGGAAGTTTATCTATGCTTGTATTTCCTTCATCACTGAAATGATCTAAATTCTTGGGTGTGACTTCAGTTATAGTAGCAGTATTGGCTTCAATTGAAGTGGACCCAACCACACCATCTGCTTTAAACTTTTCAGTCGCAACATTGGAATCAACCACCTCATCTGCTGGAACCTTTTTAGTCACAACGTCACTACAGTTTACGGAATCAACCCCCTCATCTGCTTGAACCTTTTCAGTCACAACGTCACTACAGTGTGCAGAATCAACCAGCTCATCAGCTCGAACCTTTTCAGTCGCAACATCACTATACTGTACAGAATCCTCATGGTCCAGATCACATGGTGAAGCAAGTTCATAATCGGAGGAAACAGCAGTGCTAGGCACAGTAATACCTTCTGGATTAACTGTTTCAGTCACAAACTCTGGTGAGTTCAAATGTATCTCATGAACTGTATCATTTGGATTAGAAAGTTGCAGCTCATCCGAGATATTATCAGCATGAGGGAATATGGTTACTTTTCCATCGTCAGCTATGCTTGTTATATCTACGATATTTGCTTCCCTTTCAGAATATGATACACCAGTTTCTGCCAAACCATCTTCAACTTGAAGAACATCATCTACTACATCTAAATCCTGTTTCTGAGAGTAATCTGCTGCAAGCGTTAATTCTTCATATTTTACTTCAGTTGCCATAATGCTCTCATCCTTCAAATCTTGGGTCAGCAAAAAATCTACTGCAAGAGGTAAGTCTTCATATTTTGCTTCAGCCGCCACTCTGTTATCATCACCTTTGAGGACAATAGAATTACATATGTCATCTGAAGAATTATTTGTAGAAGCAAGTGAAGTCTCAGAGGGCAAAATAAAACTAGGACACGATTCGATTTCTGGCAAGGGTTGCTTATCAATAGTTCTATCATCCTGGTATTCTTTTTGAAGCAATGTACCCTCAACCTTTTCTACTGCTTCAATCTCAACAGCTTGCCCTAAAACATTTGAAAGATGCAACGAATTTTCAGACGTGGCATTCACATCTACACCCTCCCTGTCTCTAATATGATAAACTTCAGAAGAAATTGTGTGCTCAGCACCACTAACAGTCTCAGATGGAACATCGAGGAAAACATTTCTGTGACAATCTAGGCCTGTCTCTGTAATTGATATCTGTGAACCAAAATTGACAAGGTTGGTAGATGATTTATTATACAACTTTGGTTCCACCAATAAGGATGAAGGTGGTAATGAGTCTGGGTCTAACCGTGGTTGTGGAGTAATTGGATCCAAAAAACATGAATCACCAGATACCTTTTCAGATTTTGAGATTTTATCTTCATGAACACTAGTATTATCGGGTCCACTTTCATCAGCTTTTCTTTCATGAGAATGAGAGATATAATCTGGATTACAGGGCATATTTTCAATATCCACCATACACAGTTTTGGAATTGTAGATAATGCTTTAGAGGTACCTTCAGAATCATATTGTATGTTGTCAACCAAACTACTCACCGTATCAGAGCACGGAAAACTGGATCTCTCTCTCTTTAATGAACTATTACCATCATCTGATACAGAAGAGTTCACGAGGGATTGTGAATCTGATAGTTGAGCTATGGTTTCCAAGTGTTCATCATTTGCATCAGATTCACTTCTCTGTTCTCCAACTTTCAGAAGGTTAACATGTTTAGATCTAGGTTCATTGTCTGTTTCCATTTCTGACTCCATAGTAGCGAGAGCATCCACATAGTTGTCTACTTCACTGATTACCTCATCAGAACGATACCCATCTATACTGCTCTCTGTTTTCCCTTCACCATATTCTATTTGGTTTTCAACTAGCACCACTTGAAGATTGGGAATTGTTTCAATCTCATGATCTCCAGTTGATTCAGTCATCTTCACAATCTCCTCACAAACATCACCGTTGATTGGTCTTTTTAATTCTTCTTCTTGTGCTAAACATGATGAGCACGTACTTACCCTTCCGGGAGATTTGCTTGTGGGGCTCACTGTAGTGATATCAAGTATTCTAAGACCCAGTTCATTCGTATTGTCTGACCTTAAATGCAAGGTCGGTGCAGCAACAGATGCTTCATAAACCATCTTATGCTCTGGAGAAGGAGTCTCCAAAAATTTTTCCATGTAACTTTTCCCATCTTTTGAGTCAATACATCCACTAAATTGCCTTTTCTTCAATTTTACAAGCCGTGAAGGGTCATTAAAACAACTTTCAATGCGCTCCTCCAAGAACAATTGATGTAGTCTGCACAATTGGGAAAAATTTGACATTAACCATCAAGTATCTATAAGTAAGCATATGCAGTTAAACAGGTCAAGAAAAGTCCTGAAGAAATAAGGACGCCCTACTTGGCATGGGATGTTGGTCCAATCTCTGGTGTTCCACCATTCCTCCAGCGTGGTCCTTTCCTCTGCTAGGAGGCAAAGAAGCCATATTTTAGAACTAAATAGGTTATAATCATGCATGGATAAGTTTCACTGAGTAGAGGTAAGGGTGTGCATATGGCAGCAATGAACGGCAGTCCCAGAATTGAAAGGTCAAATAGGCCCAAATGAACATATTTTGTCTAAGAATTTAAGAACCCCAATGTAGTAAAGGGTAAATAAACTTACTGAATTTTTTCAGTGATACAACATATGCAACTCTCACATGCAGTAAACATAAGCCACCCGTATGCAATTTGAGTTTTCAAATGATAAATTCTATAGAAGAATATGAAGTATTCAATTAACAGTTATCCTTAGTGAAGCCAGAAGATACAAAAAAATGACTCATGCAAAATTTGACAGAATTTTCATGAATCTTGTTGACAATACTGATCTTCTGAGTAAACCACAAGCCACCAAATAAATAAAGAAATAAAGGAATAAGAAAAAAGGCACCCACAAGCACATGCATCATATGCAAGAATGCTTACATAAAACAGTGGTCAATACATGATCTAGGRCTGTTCCAAAAGAAGGAAAAGACATATGAAACAACTATTTCTCAGAATGCATAACACAAGTGACCAAACCTTTTCATTTAATATCATTCTGGAAATAAAAGAAGAAAGAGGGAAGGCAACTAAAAGAATAAAAACTGGTCAAACGAGAGAGAGAGAGAGAGAGAATAAAAGAGCTTAAGAAATGGAGAAATAGATGAGCTGCAAATCTCATGTGTTATGCTATATGATGTATTGAATTGAACAACATTGACTATACCTTCACTTTACGAATTTTCTTCTCCCTTTGATGCTCAATATTTGATCTCTCAGAAGCTGTGGATTCCACTTTAAAAACTGATGGGTCAGTGTATCGCTTCAAACATGCCCCAGCCCCTGCAACATCAAACCTATTCAAAGGCAGAGAGTCAGAGAAATTTTTTAAAATCCTAAAAACATATTTCTTTTACATTTATGCAAGAGGATACCATACTTGTCTAAAAGGAATAGACGTGGGGGGCCCCTGCATTCTTCATAGGAATCCATGACAAACCGAGGTAAGTCTCCACGAGTAATAAGACTTTGCTCTGACTGCAAATTAGGATGCCAGTCAAGTCCTGCAATATAATTCGCAATTATGATTTAAAAGCTTATCCTTAAGGTGTTAGTATCAATAGTCATGGGGTTCCATCTCAAAATCAATTGGCGGTGAGAGGAGTAGCCCACTTATATTAGAAGCTCCTTATTTTTCAATGTAGGATCCTTGACAATTAGATGCCTCTAAGAACCAACCTCATTTCATCTTAGATAAACTTAAGTCGTTCTAAACACAGAGAGAAAAAAGGTATAATATATATTTTGTTGGATGGGCTAACATAATGATACTGGCCCTGTATCTGAAAAAAAAACAACAAAATTCTAGCCATTCCTATGTTGTGGGAGCAAAATGATTGAATGTGAAAAACAATTCGATAAGATAAAGAATTTTGTGCAGTGCAGAAATAAATATATGCCTAAATGCATGCTACCTTCATTATATAATTAGCAAACAGCAAGTACAAAGGTAAATTAGACATTGCAATGTCCACTCCTACCTTCCTGTCAAACTGCGACTCTTTCACAATCAATATCTAAAAAAAGGTTGGTTTGAATTATACTATTGAACTCGAAATATCCATTTTATTTACTTGTCATGATGAGAAGACATGCTTATCAAGAAACAAATACCATTATGCAAATCCGGGCTCTTTTAACACCATCAATCAGTATTTAGATCATATATGCACTTAAAGTACATAAATCGATAACCAGGTAGCAAGACTATTTTTTGAAAAATAAAAATGAACAAGACAATTCTGAAATGCATTTGCATAAAGTGATACAGTGTGTGTGAGCATGAGTGTAAGTAACAGTAATTTGTAGTGAGGAATAGCTTCAAATAAAATTTTCTAAGCCCTATATCATATGTTTTTAAAAAATAAAAAAATAGTACGATGTTTAATTAGTTCATGATCCCATATCAACTGTTTAGATTCATCAGTATAATCAGTCTGGTTGCCATGGTTGTAGGTAAGAGTATAAAATTACATGTAGTAGACTAACCTGAACTAGTGAAGAAAGATGTATGATTTGTTTGGGACAGAAATGCTTTCTCAATTGAAGGAACTTCTGCCTCAAGTTGCTGCACGCGAATCATAAGGCCATGGCCTCTTGCAGCCGTTGAAATTACCTCTTCATGTAAGTCGTGGAATACCTCAGCAGCAAACCTTTTAACAAATAAAAAGAAGTAAAGGTGAAGGCATATTTCTAGGGGAATCTTTAAATACTATACTATGGAGATGAAAAATAGTCTAGTGCTAGTGAAATATCTAAAACAATATACTTTCAATTTTTCACAATCTTTCCAAGTCGCCAGTAAGATATCTAAAGTATTATCCAGTTACTTTTCAAACCTTTCATTTCCAGTCTTCCAGAAACTCCTCTCCAACAGTAATACCATTTTTTTCTTAAAATATAATATATGCATCATTGGAACTGAATGTGTATATGGTGTGGCAAATAACATTGAGAAATTTAGAACTCTTGCATATGATTAACTTTTGTGCACCTATTACCAGAACAGGAATGAATGTCAAGAAGCTCAGCTCTTGAAGTTAATAAATAGTACCAAAATTTCAGGTAGAACTACGAAAAATTTAAGAAGGTAAAGGTTAGAATATATATAAATATTTTACTGATATTGTAAACGGCGAGTCCAAGATTACCACAAATCCTAGGAATTACCGAGCACTTGATTAGTGATTAATCAACTCGCGTTGGGTTAGAACACAAATCGGAAGTTGTTAACAGCAGTCTTGAAAACATAATTTGGAAACCAAAGAATCGGAAAGAGCTAAAAATGATTTAAGGAGCCACTAGAGAAGGCGGAGTCCTAAAATTGGGAGTGAGAATTGAAGCCGAAAATTCTAAGAAAAATGATAAATCTCTCGCGTCCAGCATTTCACTCGCCACGTTAAATTAAATCCAAACCTAATGAAGTTAAGTTCCACCAAACGTAAAGCTAGCAAGGTCAACTGATTAAACAATCTACTCTTAAAACTCTGATGCAGCTCATACTTCTCAATTCAACGCTTAGTTCAATCACTCAACTCACAAGCCATCTCCAGCGATCCCCAATTCAGAGCACAAACACTCAACCATTAGTAAACATCAACAGTTCAGAAGAATCAGAAATATCCACTCCAAGAACAAAAGAAAAAACAAAGAACAGTAGAAAAAACAAAGAAAATCTCACTCGGCAAGGTCACCGAGCTGGCGCAAGACTCCGACGAGGCCGGCCATGGCGACGCCTTCAAGAAGTGCTTCGGGATCATCTTTATCGGCGGCCTTATACAGCTCCGGATCCGCCAAGCCGTACTCGTTCCTTATTTGGTACCTGGTCAGCGGCATTTCTTGTTCTTCTTCTTTCCCGTCTTCTTCCGCAAATTGAAGACAGCAATCCCTATGGCTCTAAAATTCGCCGCCGTGCTCCGATGGTGCCTCTCTCTACATTTCTCACCGGCGAAATACCGAAGAGATAGAGACAGAGAGCGGTGAGTTAATTGAGAAGATCGATAAAAAATAAAATTAAAAAAAAAAAATGTGAACGGATGAATTAATATACGGTTGTCTCAGCCACCGTTAGAAGAGTATATTTAATGTGAGCTCAAACCTCGACTCAATTATAAAACATTTATACACATAAATTAATAATTCAATATTAGTTTAAATATTTTTTTAATTGTGGACGATATCATAGCCTAATTGATTTAATCCTGTAATTTTAAAAGATTCATTTCAGGTCTTATACTTTTTGTTCATTTTAATTATTGTATTTTCGAAAGATTCAGTTTGGTTTATATATTTTAAAAGAGGGATATTTTTATATATTCATTTTTATTCTTGTCTCATTTTTATCTCGCTAAATTTCTTGAAATAGAATCATAAATTTGTATGAAAATATTTTTATTGTATATAATATTTGTGTTACAATTTGCAAATAAACACGAATTGGTCACTTTGTAAAAGTATGGATAAAAATAAATGTTTGAAAGTAAAATGATTAAAATGAACAAAAGTTATAAATATCAAGATAAACATTTGAAAAGTACAATAACCAAAATGGATAAACTAAAGGGACTAGAAGAGTATTTGAATCGTTAATACTTTTTTCATTCCTGCAATCAAATTTTCTTTAAGTACAATAAATGAAGCGAAGGATTCGAACTCAAAACCTCATGATCTGAAATAGATGTCAATTCACTGAACTAAGGTCATATTAGCTAACAATCCAGATATTTCGAAAATTAAAACCATATTGTTATACTTTGAAAATGTTAATAAAAAAATTTTATGTATCCAAATTTATGTTTCTTTATAAAGTATATATGTCTTATGGTTTAACTAATTAAAATATTAATATATTTTTCTTTTATAAATAGGAGTTTTGAATCATCGCTTGTATTTATAATATTACATTTATATTCGCAAACAAAACTTAGTTTTCAATTTATAAAAAATTAGAGTTTTGTGCTCGAATGATATTATTTTGAAAATAACCATTCAAATGTAGTGGGTTCTTTTAAAGATTCCAATGTGTCTTTTTTTTCCCTAAAAAATTGATACTTTTGCAGATGACCATTTTTTGTATTAACCTGAATGTCAAATAATTATCCATATATTTTTTAATAATATTACATTTGAGAAGAGCTTTGTGTGTGTGTGTTTTTTTTTAATATACAAATATCTAAGTTGATAAAGAAATCTTTTTAACTTAAAATAAATAAATAATGAAATAAATAATTATTAAAAAACTTTCCCTAAATATTTATATTATTAACTTTGCTAGCACACTGACTATTATTTGAAATTACAAGGTCAAAGTTTTACTATCGAAAACTGAAGCATGCAAAATGAACTAATTTTAGGCGGAGATATTTTTAACTACATCTTAGATTAAAACTTCGCCCTAGTTTTCTAAACTCTATTAGCTCTCAAAATAAGTTAAAGGTGCGAAAGAAAGTGTAATTTAAAGAAATTTATTCACATATACATTGTGAATATGTTTGTGGTTTTGTTTCTTTTAATTTTGGAGTTATTTATTTAAATGGAAAAGGTGTTTCTTTATTTTGTTAATTTGTAACATGTTAAAGTTACCTAGGTAACATATGCAAAAAGGTTACATATGAGTTTAATTTTGTGTAATAAGTAACATGTTTGGACAACTATATATAGTCGTGGTTTTGTTCATTTTGAGATATCCAAGCATACCACAATTGAGTATTCTCCTCCTCTCACAAGAATTCTCTCTTCTTTTTGAGTTCTTGTTCTTGTTTATGTTGAGAGCAAGTGTCTAAGAGTTCTGCCAGATCCGAGTAGTTCGAAGTTGTAGTTCTATCGGAGTTAGTCGTTGTATCATGTTGAGACAATCGTTGTAGTCTGCTAGCAACTTGTGCAGGGCGAATAATTGTCTTCAGGTCAGCGCTATTGAAGCATGCCTCGACTATTTTGATCAAGTTTTGGTGTTCATCAAGTTGTTCAAATTTATATCGTTTGTAGCCAGTTACGTTGTAATCTGTTTGTCAGTATTACACAGTTAATATATACAGCGTATATATTTACCCAACACACCACCTAGAATAATTCGTTTGCCAATTATTGACACATCTTAACCACATAATTTATTGATAATATAGTAAGCATGTTACAGATTATTAAGATTAAGGATTGAAGGGTCATTGTTAGGAATGAAAATCAAATCACAAACGTGATCCTCCTGCCTCGCAATATGTGTCTCGACCTCAATTTGGCAATGAGGAACAAGCCAAAGTATAGAAAGAATAGCTTAGCTCAACTCTGATCTGGGAGCAAGACTGTCAACATAATTAGATTTGCTGACAGTCGACGAAAAGTCAGTTTCGTTGACAGAGGATCTCTTGATAATTGACCGAATATCTGTTAAGGACAAGTACAGATACTACCACAATAGAGCACCACTTTTCAATACTCCCCTTTTATAAAAGGTGAAGCCCCACATTTTCAAAAGTACACAATTTATTGCATCCAACTAAGCTCAACTCGACACCAACCCATACTAAGTTCTAACTTAAGCTTTATAGTGTACGTGGACTTGGATGCAAGATTGTGTTTGTAGGTAGCTCGTTAGCCCACGTCGAAGTCCACCTCGGATCACCTGCTAACATGTCACCTTAGCTAAAATCTTGCATAATAGGTATCTTATCTATCCAGCTGCTCACATTGACATAAATAAATGTAGGTTGAAACTTGAAAGTTTACTACATTTATAATTGGTAAAATATACAAGTTTAAAAAGTCATAATTTGTTGTGTTTGAAAATTAAATTTAGTTTCAATTCGATCCAGTTTCAAAAGTTAATCTTTTATAACTTAAGTTTAAATTTAATTTTTAATTGCTTCTAAAATTTAAATTTGTTTTCTATTTTGGTTCCTAAGTTGAATGGATCATTAGTTGACTTGATAAAAATATGATGATATGATAGCTTAACCTATGTTTATTTAATTTTGGTGAGGTATATGTTTCTAAATGAATTGGAAAAATTTATTATTCTTTTATTCTCTTTTACCCAACTGACATTTTTTTCTCATTTCCTCCCTCTCTTCTGACTACACCTGATTTTTCCTCTTCATTCATCTCCAGTTTAACATTTAAATTGATTAGGTTACAATTTACAGGTGAATCATCAAGTTTCTCGACAACTAATCAGATTCATCGACATTCATATTAAGTCATTTGAGAGCTCTCGATATGTAGTCAACATATGTCAACTACCACATCATCATTTCATTAGGTTAACGAATAGTTAACTCAACTCAGTGACTAACTAGAAATTACATCCAAACGTTAATAACTAACGTATTATTTTTCAAATTTAACGACCACTTAGAAATAAAGTTCAAGTTTCAAAGACCATAAATGATAATTTAAAAAAAAATTAAATTCAAACATGATGAAATATGTAATTTATCATTTTATAATTCAAATAAAAAAATAAATATTGGTAGGAGCATTTACAACTTGGCTGCGACAAGGCTAGCAAAGAGGTAGGCGGAGCATATCGTGGCGCTTAATTTGTGCTGGTTTGCATTGGATCATGGTATGTTTAATAATAATATCTTCTTTGCATCGTCAAAAATATATTATATATATATATCTTTTTTTCGTTCGTTATCCAGTGTTCCCAACCCCACCGTATCTTCGTGTTCCTCTCTCATCACCACCGTCCTTTCTACTGACTTTTCAATCATGTCACTTGCCTTTTCTTGCATCCTAAATTAAGAAAAAACCTATTGATTACAGGAAAGACAACCATTATGCTTAATAAGTAATTCTCTTATATCTAAATAATGAAAAAAAATATATATTTATTGTCTCAGAATTTCAATCACACACTTTGGAGACCATTTTTCTCTCTCCCCCTTTTTTTTTTCCATTTATTTTGATGCTCTCTCTCATGATTAGGAGACTACATTTTCAGCAAGGTAACCTTCAAATTAGAGTATGAAACAAAGTTTGAATCCAAGATCATTGAAAAAGAAATCAAAAGAAAAATGGTGATGATGAACATTATTCCAATAATTAGTCATGCCAATGTTGATATCAAGATTTATATCATGGTTAAAAGAAAGTAAAAATCCCTAGGAATATAGGGGATGGTTTGCAAGTTTGTTCGTAGAGCTTTAAAGCACCACAAAAAATTGTGACTAAAAAACTCATATAAGTTAGGGTAAATTTACCAATTTCATTGGCATATGAGGTTTCAGCTTAGTTCCGTTCAGTAAATCTCTGTGATTTTAGAAGTTATAATTTGGTCCCTACGGTTTGGTCAAACCTCATAGATCATCGTTACGTTTATAAATTGTTACCATTGTTTCTATTTAGTGGCAATGAACTATTGTTAGGTAACTATTTTAATTAGGATTTATGATTGAATAAGAAATATGACAAATATGACAAATTTTGTTTGTTGTTTTATATTTTTAAAAATTAAACTTTACAAACACTATTCTATAGGGGTGTGTGTGTTTGTTTTTTTTTTCTGGTTACCTATCTTTTAAAAATATATATTTTTAAAATTTAAGTAATTTTTTTCTTGAAAATTTATCTAAAAATTTAAATATATTTTAAAAACACATTAGAGAAACAAATATAATTTTAAAAAACAGAAAAGTAAAAATAAAATAGTTATCTAATACTCAAATTAGTAATTCTAACTTAAAAATTTTAAATCAGTGTATACATTAAAATCATTATTTACAAATATGTGGCTGTAAACATACTTCTTTTAGAAAAATAGTCACCAAAAGTGTATTTTTTTTTTCTCCATTTTCAATAGAAAGTAAATTCCAAACAAGCTCTTCAGAGCTGTCCACTTGCCAAATCGGTCATCTCCTTCGAGTTAATGCACTTTTTTTTTTTTTCTCTTTCCATGAGGGAAAAAAAAGCTCTCTATACAAATAGGTAGAAAGCCAACTTTATAAATTAATAACAAAAAGATTAAATGCAAAATGACATTGGGTGCTATTGCTACCTACTCTAACCGTCAAGTTCCTTGATCCCACGTGGAGCACAGCAAATAT